CAGCCATATTATATTTTCAATTGAATAAAGACAGCCTTATTAAAGCAATTAAATAAAGGCAGCCATATTATATTTTCAATTGAATGAAGACGGCCTTATTAAAGCAATTAAATAAAGGCAGCCATATTATATTTTCAATTGAATGAAGACGGCCTTATTAAAGCAATTAAATAAAGGCAGCCATATTATATTTTCAATTGAATGAAGACGGCCTTATTAAAGCAATTAAATAAAGGCAGCCATATTATATTTTCAATTGAATGAAGACTGCCTTATTAAAGCAATTAAATAAAGGCCGCCATATTATACATCATGAGTGGCATCTGATTTGTCCTCACCTACATACTTCTTTAGTAATGTAGATCGTTCTGTGGAGAAGGTCATTGGTAGGTGGCTTCACTTGGAAAACTTATAATTTATAAGAAAACATTTCAAGATAAGATCTATTGGTACAATAACTACATTGGTCCAAGAGAAAATGTAATACACTATGCATGGACATTTTACCAATGAACAATTATAGAACAGTTTAACACTGAACAAAATAAATGCTACACCTTAATATAAGAAGCACGTATTTGTATGAAATTTTTAAAACAAAGAATTTCTTTCAAAATATTGATGCAGACGCATCAAGTATTTAATATACCATAGATGAAAATGGCCGCCAAGATCTCGTTGAGAGCGAGACAAGATTTTTTGCCTGTCAAATAGTGTTCCATTCTCTGTTAACATCATGTTCATAGATACGTAACCATGGTATTTGGAAAAGTGGACGTGATGACGAGATAGAATTGAACACTATTTTAACGAGGGGAAAAACCTTGTTGGTCTCACTCTCAATGAGATCTCAGCGGCCATTTTTGTCTAAGGTCAATTTCTGAACAGTTCAAGCAGCTTGGCAAAATATTCATAATAAAGAAATTTTCACTTTTTAACATTTTAAACACAAAGTTATGTAAATGGTACAACATATTAAGAATGTTTTGACTCAGTTTTGCTTTTATATAACATATATTTCAATACTTGAGTGAGACCGTTAGTTTTTACATCATAAACTGTGAAGTAAACACAGGATCCTTCACAAAAGAAAACATGCGTCAGCGTAATGAAAACTAACAAAAGATGGCGAATATCATTTTAAAAAGGTCAGTAACCCAGTATCTTTATTTGTAGAAAATGTTGTTATCAAGTTACCACCCCTCATCTTTATACAAAAAAAATGAGAAAATGGAGCAATGCTTTTGGAAAACTGTATTGAAGATCCTTAATCTTTTCGCCACCAGTTCCCTCTTTTCATCACAAATTTACAAAATAGTTCTGTTTATGGTCTGCACTTTCGTTCAGAAGATTGGGACAAATATAGGCAAATTTTTTGAGTAAAAACTAAAAATTGACTAAAATTTTGTCTCTTGGCTCCAAAATTAGGGTTCATTTCCAGAAATAATGAAAAATTGTGCAGACAAATTTGGGTGAGAAAATCTTGTGGTGAAAAGGTTAAACCAGTAGTCATCGAAAAAAGCAATGCTTCTCTGAAGTCCACTTGAATTAATTTTTGAAAATAATTATACAATCATTTTAAAAAATACATATACATACTTTTATTAGTCATTGAGTTCTTACTAAAACAAAATTGACGTAACCATAAAATTTGATTCAATATGTCAATATTGAATCAAATCAAATACAGACATGTGCACACAATAGAAATTACATGAAACCAAACTTCGTCATTTGATTTTATCTTTAACAGTGATTTTTTGTGAATCTCATGAAAGTTTACTCTAGTCTTTATCCAAAGGACAAATTTTAGCCACAAAAAAGTCTTACTATTCAAGTTTTTTGTTTCCCATTTAATTATTCAAATCATCTGACTTCATGAATAATTAATCACATCACATAAAGCTTCGTGACATCATTTGTAACTTCACTGTCTCACTTTGTCTTCTTCGTTGCCACGGAATCTTCAAGTTTCTGATAATAATCGTTGTATTGTTGATCTGTTCCAAACAATTTATCCCACCACGTGAAGGATGATGAATAATTCCCATTAAAATTCATGTGATGGAAGTCATGGAAACGAACTCCTAGAATTTAAGTAAATAAAAGAGTTGATGATGATGACAATAAAAAGAAGATTTCTTTACACCTTCTTTAATCCAATGTCTGTTAAAAATGGCGGCAAAATAATGTTTATTCAAAATGGCACACATCTAATGTCTGTTCAAAATGGCGGCCAAATAATGTTTATTCAAAATGGCACCCATCTAATGTCTGTTCAAAATGGCGACCATCCAATGTTTATTCAAAATAGCAGCCATTCAATGTATATTCAAAATGACAGCCATTCAATGTATATTCAAAATAGCAGCCATTCAATGTCTATTCAAAATGGTGGCCTTTTGATGTCAATTCAAAATGACGGCCAAATAATGTTTATTCAAAATGGCAGCCAACTATTGTCTATTAAAAAGGACGACCATCCAATGTTTTTTCAAATTGGCACCCATCTAATATCTATTAAAAAGAACAACCATCCAATGTCTATTCAAAATGACAGCCATTCAATGTATATTCAAAATAGCAGCCATTCAATGTCTATTCAAAATGGTGGCCTTTTGATGTCAATTCAAAATGACGGCCAAATAATGTTTATTCAAAATGGCAGCCAACTATTGTCTATTAAAAAGGACGACCATCCAATGTTTTTTCAAATTGGCACCCATCTAATATCTATTAAAAAGAACAACCATCCAATGTCTATTCAAAATGACAGCCATTCAATGTATATTCAAAATAGCAGCCATTCAATGTCATATTCAAAATGGTGGCCTTTTGATGTCAATTCAAAATGACGGCCAAATAATGTTTATTCAAAATGGCAGCCAACTATTGTCTATTAAAAAGAACAACCAT